TATAGCTTTATTGATGAATCAGATAATTATATTAGGAATAGAGAATAATATTTGCATACATTTTAATTTGATTTTTTTGATAAAATGAATTACTCATAATTTAATAAATTACAAATAGGAATTAAATAATTAATTGAAGCACACAGTCTTCATTAATACAAAGAATTTATTAAAAATATGAGTGATATTAAAGAAAAAAGAAAATAAGTTGAAAAAGTATCATGGTAGCTTTCGATAGATGGTGATATTCAATTAAAATTGTTAAATAATTCTATAAAGTAAGATAAAAAATCCTTAGCCTTGGCATTTAATTATTAAACAAATATATTAGTAACAAGTAATAATTATGAAATTTTAATTTGGAATTTTAATGAAGGGAAATTGGAAGATTGTTAAAAATATTAAATATCTGAACTTGTTAATTGTTTAGTATTTAGTAAAAATTAGAATATATTTATTTCTGGATCCAAAGAAGTTTAAATTTGGAAAGAACAATAAAAAAAGTAATGGTTAAAATCAAATCCATATAAAATATAATAAGATGAGTTCATTACATGTCTTGTTCTTAATTCAAAGGAGGATTTACTAATCTAAGGAGGAAGGTATAAAATCATAAATATTTTGGCTGTTGACTTTCAAAAAAATTAGATTACTTATTTATATTAGTTAGATAGGCATACTTAATGGGTGAGTTCATTAAGTTTAAACAATTCAGAAAATCTACTTTTATCTTGTGGATACAATGAAACAATCATCTGGAAAAAGAATGAAGACAATAAATGGAGTTTTATGACTGAAGTTATTAAATAAAAAACATCTGATGATCCAAATAGGGCATTATTTTTAAAAGATGATTAATTTATTTTTTTTTAAAATAAGAAAGGATCTAAAAGTGCAATCGTATATTAATAAAATAAATTAGATTTTACTAAAAATTATGAGATTTAGTTTGATACTATACCCACTTTAACATCTAAATTATCTTAATCATTTAAGTTTATACCAGAATTGAATTTATTATTTGTTACATATAAAGAATACATTTACATATTAAGAAAATAGAGTAATGGACAATATAAGATTGTTAATTAATAATGTTATAAAACTGATGAAATATATGGAACTTTATCAAATAATGGGTAATACCTAGTAATATATGATTAAAGTTCAAAATTATACAATATTTATCAAGTAGAAAATAATTGATATGATCATTTATATATTAAAGTGATATCATTTCTAATATTGGTTAATATTTAAAAAATGTTATTTATTATTTATAAAAATTAAATATAAAAATTAATCAAATCATTATGTAATTATATTTGAATTATTTAAATCCACATAATCATTATTTCTTTAATAAAATTAATGTATAAAACTTTAGAAAAATATCAATTGATTGATCTTTTAACAAAGGAGATTCAATTATATTTAGTTAATTTATAAAATAAAGTATTAAAATATGAAATGAATTAGAAATCTAATATAATTTAATAGAATAATTAAAATATAATTCTAATAATTTAATGTTATATATATTATAATACAATCAAAATGAACTGATAACAATGCTTGTTCTGCTTTATAAATAATCATTTAGATATTCAAATATACTTAGAAATTTCTTCACTTAATCCTAATTTAATAATAATTATTGATTGCTTATAGATGGTATTATTTAATTAGAAAAGGAATTAATATTATCTTTTAATTAGATAATTGGTTTAGCATAACTAAATAAATACTTCTTAATATTTTAATATCAAGTCTAAATTCGATTCCTTCTTTAAACACTATTCTCTAAATGATTACTGAAAAGTGAATGTTTCATAATCCAAGGAGCCATTTATCTTATCTTACCTCTAACTTTATCAAATTATACTTATAATTCTAACCAGTAAGACTTTTAAGATTTCAGTAAGAAGTAGAAAGAAATGAAATAAGTTTATGATTGCTAAAATAATACAATAAGGAATTTGAATATTTAATGAACCATATAATTCATCAATATATATACCAAATCCTAAAATGATAGATATTTTACAAACCTTAGCTAAAAATAAATCTAAATTATTAAGATTAAGTAATTTATATGGTTTGAATCTACGATTAAATTCTGAATAAACAAAAATGACTNAATACACTAAGACTTTTAAAGTAACAATCTATAATCTTAATGTTTGAAATATGAATAGTTTAGACCATTTTTATTTACTCAATTATAATAAATGCAAAGATATCAGTTAAATTGAGATTTTAAGTGAAGAATGTATCAATATGAATATTAGTAGAATTCCATATTAGAATTTATGATTAATCTTATATCAGATTACTCTCATAACGAATATCCATTAATTATACTGTTTATTCAAAAACACTATGAAAAAATAATTATTTAAGGTTATGTACAGATAATGGTGATAATATTATACCTTCAATATGGACTTTCTTAAAATTTACAATAGATATTATCTTATCATATAAAAAAACTGTATTTCCATTTCCATAAAGTTCAAGTTAGATATTTCTATTTTAAATAAATAACATACATGGCTGAGAAAATGTTTTAACTAAATTTTTATTTAATACTCTTATTATTATAAATAATGCAAGTTTGTGATTCAAAACTGAAAATTCGAATGATAATTGATTTGATTACTTATTCATTGGCCATCTAATAAAATTCTGGTGTTTCAAACTAAAATTATATACAAACTCTACTTCTTGAAAACTTGATGTTGAAAATAAATCATCTAATAATAAATTTGATTGTTTATAACTTCTAACATCTTCTTCTCTCTCTAAAGATTAAATTTACTAGTAATATTATTCTTGAGAACAATGCAAGTATAAATTAATCTATATTTCTTTCATACAATCCCAAAAAGGACAATCTACATACATTTTTAAATCTTTATCAAAATATCCTTTTTATCTTTATAAACACTAATTTGAATAATAATTAAATTCTTGATTATTAAATATCGGATTAATTAATTTGATTTCATCCTCTTCTCTTTAACGACAAAATACACAATTTCTAGAACATTATATACATTAATTATTATGTAAACTTAAACTTCTTTTTCCTTGAATTGATGGACATTCAATACAGATATTTTCATCATTAATTATTTTACATTTTAAACAAGTATCTGAACACACTTATATACATTTATCGTTATGAATTTCATATCCTTATAAACAAAATTGACAGATAATTTCATAATCATTAGGATTTTAACTAAGACCATAATCAATAAAAGAATGTGATTGTAAATCATCATCTATTACTTATCTATAATAAGCACGAACTTAATTCTTCCATTTATCTTTTGATATTTTATTCTATTAATAACAAACTTAACATTTTAATGTTTAAGGGCAAGGTACACATAAACCAGTTAATATTTCTGCATAATATCCATTATTGCATTCAAGACATAAGTATGATACTTTAATATTAATCTATCCAATTATACAAATGTGGCAATTATAATTAAGACAAGAACTTTCTGTAATAAATGAAACAGGATCTCTATATGATTTTATCTTAGGTCCAAACAAACATACTTCTTCGAATTATGTGATTGCAGATAAATAACTATAATAACAATCAGATGATTTTTATAGTTAGCATAGATTAGTTTCTTCATTAAAAGCATATTATTGTTAACATTATCCACATATTACATAAGTATTATCAAAATATGGAGTAAATTAATAATCTAATGAATTTATTTTTTTTTAATATCTTGACACTTCAAAAGCATAAAGACAATTTTTTATTGGATTTTCAAAACAGTCTTCACCATTTAAAGAAATATAATACCTTTAATCATGTATGCAATTAAAAAATTAAATAATCTTAAAATTAGAATCCTCAATCTTTCATATCAAGATTTAATGATTTATACTATAAAATTCACAGGTTTTACAATTAAATCCAAAATTTAAACCTTTAATTTAATATCCATCAGGAAATTAAAGAAACTCCAAAATTCTATTGTTTGTATTACTTTTCATTCCAAAATATGAACAAAGTAAACAACAATTTTCAAATAAATAATATCCTACATCACAATATAAGCAATTATAAGATTCATAATCTGATTTAACACAATTCTATATGGACTATAAACTTTATTATTATATTAATAATGATTCTACTTACTAAGAATATAAATAGGTTGATATAAATGTGTGTATTCTTGAGTTTTAAAGCAATTAGGATAATTATATTCAGTGTTACAATAATTTTCAGCACCTTCAATCAATACTAAATTAGAAGTGAAATCAATAAAATAAACATCATAATTTATTTGTAATAAATTTACAATCTTTCTTATAGTCTAAAAACAATCAGAACATAATTTATCTACCTAGTTTTGTTACAGACTCGTTTCAGTGAATGATATATATTCTCCTAATTATTCTATGTAACCTTATTGACATGAACATGTTTTCAAGTCTTCTGAGAATCTTTATTTAAAGACACTATAGCCCCATTATGTTATTCATAAGTAAATTATACCATATGCCATTAGCTATAATTATTGGTAATAATATTATTTAACCAAACCAGAAAATTAAAATCTTTACCTACCTAATCTATTTCCTTTATGATTTAATTTTTTCCATCCAAAATTTAAACGTCCTCTTTCAAATATATTGTTTATTCACCTTATTAGTAGAACAGGTACATAAAAATTTTATTATACCCATTCAAAATTTTGATTTGATTGATCATCATTATATTTTAAAAGAGTTGACAATTTTCCTCTAAATATTCCTAGTTAATATTGTTGATGAACCGATTATCATAAGTAATGAAACTAGAATTCCAATACCTCAAATGATAAAAGTAATTTTATTTGATTATGGCATTTCATCCTATATGTAGTAATAATCAGCAGATTTTGAAGTTTAAAATATGGTTTGTTATTATTGTATAGTTATCAAACTTAAAATCCATTTTCCTTCATATTTTTTAGAATCAAAAGCATACTCGTATATATTTCAAAACCTCCAGTTGCAATGTGAAGTTGATGAATAAGGAAGAATTATTATTATGATTTAATCAATTTTTGAATATAATTATATGGTAAAATTTTGATGGTATTAATATAATATTTGCCTAGAAGGCAATCTTTTTTTAAGATAAAGCTTGACAAACTCTGTTCCTGAAATCAAAATATCCTGTTTTAATTGATAGAAAATCACATATTGAATTTGAAAAAATAATTGATTGAGGAATCATAATGAAAAAACTTAATGATAAAATTTATGGATCAATTAAATACAAATGATCGTACATGAAACTTTGAGCTTAGGTGTGTCAAAAAATATCAATTATCATGAAACTTAAATAATAATCCTAAACGACTATAAGATATAGCAAGTAATATTGAGAAATGACCTTATTGAAGAAACCAGTTAACTACATATAAAATAATTTATAAATATAAATCGATGAATTAAATCAAATTCATACTTTATCAGGAAATAGACTTAAGAAGGCTTGAAGAAAGTTTATATTTCTTTTATGATAGGGAAATCAGAAAGTTCAATATATTATAAGGAAAATAAATTTCAATCTGTCCTCTACTTTAAAATTAATTATATTTTGGGAGTTATCATATTGATATTTGAAAAAATTTTCAATTCCACAAAACGATATATTTTTTATAAATATTTAAGTACACATCCAATTCAATCGAATAACATTATTAAATATTAATTTACTTGAAACAAGTAAAATCTTAATGCTTTGTTCAAAACCTTCAATATTTAACAACCTGGATTAATTTTTAATAATTTTTATTATTGTTTCTTATTTTTTTGCTTTTAACATATTATTAATGCCTTTATATAGAATAAAGTAATATTATATTGATAATTAGGAAATAAATATTCTTAAGAAAAAGAATCACGTATTCCATATATTGACGATTAGATAGAAAGAGATATCTATATCTAGCATTTTATTATAATTTATTTTAGTTTTGATGTAAACTAATTGTTTTTTGGAAAAAGAAAATTGTATTTTGTCTCTCCTCGTTTTGTATATGCTTAAATTTAATAATTTTCTTATCTTATATTATAATCAAATAGGCTTTAACTTAATTGTGTATCCTATTTATTATCTTTAGACTCTCGTAAGCATTAACTAAAATACTCAATTTTGGGAGTAGAAAGCTCATGTATTATGGTTTTCTTTGAAATTGGTGTATTATAACAATATATTTGAATTTGAAGCCTTTCTTACTTTCTTCAAATTATAATCTAATTTTTATTTTATGCACATGATACTAAGGACATTTCTGATTAATTAGTTATTGTTAATAAAGAACAACTATTCAATTCTTAACAGTTTGATGTACCACTCCTTAAGCAATTAAATGACAATTAGATAGCACCATATGAAACACACTTTCCTGCAGATTCATTGTTGGTGATCCATCTAAAAATGTTACCAGTTTTATTAAGACAGATTTATGAAGTTTATAATAAGGCTGAATAAGCATTTTCACAAACTCCTTGAGGTCCTAGTGAATTATTCCATCTACACAATTAGTACTAAGTTGATTAAAATTACAATAAAGCATAGGTACAGCTTTATTCATTAATGTTAGATGAACATTTCATTATTTGCAATATGAAATTTTTGCATCTCGCATGCAGTAATTCAACCAATTTCCACAAATAGTTGCATCAGTTATTTAATTACAGTATTATAATAGTGAAAATGGATAATTAGAGTTATTCCAAACATAGAGGCCTTAACCACTAATAAATTAAGAACAATTTATTTATTGATTTTAATTATTGCAAGTGGAAGAAATAGTTGAAATAGTAATTCAATTACCTCCTTCATAACCAACACATGATAAACTTTATACAGCACATCCAACTGCAATAGCCTTAAATTTCAGATCATTACAACTTTTCAAAGCTTGAAATTTATTGTTATTGAAGTTCCAGGAATAATTTACAACTGTTATGCAAATATTTTATGTTGTTATTCTGGAATATGTATTTAAAGTACAAGTTTTAGTTTATGTATTCCATCGGCATAAACTATTCTATGAATGCAATCTGATTGTAAGACATAATCAGAATAAGTACATTAAGCTTTTGTTACAAATGATATTTTTTTGCAAGGACCATAAAATACTCTATAATCCATCCCATCTAAAAATAAACCTGTATTTGATAAATAATTAGTTGAAGTCTAATTATTAAGATGGGTAATATGAATACATGTATTTAGGCTTTGTTCACTACTTTCTTAAATACATAGATTATCACTATCTAATATCCATTCTAGAGACTAACAATTATAATATATACCTTATATACAAGATCATTTTAAGATAGATTTGAAGATGTTCTACTTCCATATACATTATCCTTCAATATCCAATTAGGACGACCATTACATTCATAACAAATTCCTTTTTCACATTTAATATCCATATAGCAATATAAAATTCATTATATTTAAAGTAGTTGCCATTATTTCATCACTTATCAACAACAACAATTTAAGCTCAATTTATTGTTAGCTTTAATAAATTTACTTCCATTAAACATTTAAGGCAAAAACCTTTGATTGCATCTCAAATTAATCATCACAATCACAAGAATAATTACAGTTCAAAAATCAATCAAATGATTCTAAATTCCCATCATCAAAATTTCATTAAAAGTAATAATAAATTTATACTTTATTCGTGAATAATAAATTCAATATCATCAGAATTGATCAAGTTATTATATTCATAAAAAGATATTTTTCTTAATTTTGAATATCAATTTAAATCCATATAATAATTATATAAATATTAATTGTTTAAGTCATGTGAAACATCTGAGCAATATTTAAGTAAATTCAAACTTTTTCTTATTTTTAGTGAATCTCAGAGTAATTTTCAATAATTTCCCCTAATTAAATAGCCAACTAACTGGCTGGATTGATTTGCTTGATAAAGAAATTGCTCTCATCATTTATAAT